TACAGCGCTATATAAATATTTATTGACCTGACTGTAACCAGAATAAAAAAACATGCAAATGCACTGCAAATATAACCTGAACCACAGACGGAAACCATCCCACAGACACCAGCTGGACCTCAAAGCAATTACACACCAGCCCCAACACCTCTGGAGCAATTACTCTCATTTACTGACCACAGGCAGAGCTCAAGCACAGCACTCCTTTTATAGCCTGTGGGAACTTCTTGTGCTATTCTAAGCAAACGTATGAATTCAGCAGAAAGTTTGATGGCTTCTAAGGAATTTTCAGATCTTCTTATTATGCTTTGTTTTAAGCAAGTGGGAAAGAAATCTAAATTTACTCTTCTTATTTTTATATGTGGTTAAAGTCAAAATGATTAGCCTTTCTGGTCATGTTTTTTTCTTTTTCAAATATTTAGCAAATGATGCTTAAGAGAGCAAAGAATTTTTCCACAGTATTTCCGATAATATTTTTTTCTTCTGGAAAAATTCTTATTTGTTTTATTTCGGCTACAATAAAAGCAGTTTTCATTAAAAAAAACAAAAAAAAAACATTTTAGGGTCAATATTATTAGCCCCCTTATGCAGTATTTTCTTTTCGATTGTTAACAGAACAAACCATTGCTATACAATGACTTGCCTAATTACCCTAACTTGCCTAGTTAACCCAATTAGCCTAGTTAAGCCTTTAAAGTGCAATTTAAGCTGAACACTATTATCTTGAAAAATATCTAGTAAAACATTATGTACTGTCATCATGGCAAAGATTAAACAATAATTCAGGTGGGCTAATAACTCTTGAAACTTCAACTGTACATAGTAGTGCTTGTTTTAATCGATGTGTCTTTGCACTGTTTTATTTTGTAAAAATTAATTTTCAAAAAGGTCATAATTCGCACTCATCAAGTAAACTCGGTTTTATGTGGACTGGATGGTAACTATCCATAGATAATACCGTGTTTTTATCTGTTGGTTTTTGATATATTGTTGTTTGTAATGTCTTATTTACTCTACTTACTTTTACATCCAAAAATTTGCAGAATCTGTACTTTTTTCTGTCATGAATTTAATAGAAGGAATTTTTGAATTTATAAAGGTCGTGAATGAGTCTAATTCTTGTTTTGTGCCCAACCATATCATAAAACAATCAACTATATATATATATATATATATATATATATATATATATATATATATTTAATGTTTGATTGGAATGGATTATCATAATAAATGTAATCGTGTTCAAATTTTCCCATAAATAAGTTTGCATAATTTGGTGCCAATAGAGTGCCAATGGCAGTACCTTGTACTTGCAGATAAAAGTCTCTCTCAAACAGAAAATAATTTTTGGTTAAACTAATTTTTGTGAGATCTAGTATATATTGTTGTGGTAATCTCGCATCATAGCTGTTAATCAATGTCATATATGTCATCAATTTCAATAGCCGCTCTTCTAAGAACAGTTTGGTATGGTTAAGGTTGTTTCTTCACTGAGCGGCACGACCAATACAAACCATTCTCGGCACGATTAAACAACCTGAACTGTGCCGATAGATTCTGTGTGTGTTGATGTCGTGACTCTGTTGCCAAGCTACCACTAGTGTTACCAGATATAGCAGAATTTTTCCAGCCCAAAAGCTTTCCAAAACCTACCCAGAAGCACAAAAAAGCCCAAAATATTCTATTAATATTTTATTTATTAACCTAGTTACTTTAACTGCCATAATTGTTAACTATACAGCAACCAACACCAGCAGTCACCGAACCACAACATAACCTGATCAAATCGAAACACTGCCCCCATCTTACCCACACCCTGAACTACCTATTATATTTTACTTTCGAAATGGGGTATAAATTCATCTCATTTGGTGTTTTCAATTCAGTTGAACATAATTAGTTGCTGCTTGTCAATCAGACAACGTGTCTATGTTTTTTCTTGCTGTCATTTGCAGGAAAAATGATCAATAAAGGGGTCATAAGAAAACTGCTGTAAGTTTAACTGCAGGCGCTGTGTGATGCACATGCAAGCAAGCTTTTATTAATCGTCTTCTTGCAGACGTGGCAATAAGCCTCACATCTGTTGCCAACTACAGGCCTAAGTCAGTCTTTAAATAAGTCAGTCCTCCAGCCAGAGGTCTGAAAACTTGCATTTCCCCATGTTTTAATTTAATTAATGAACATAGCAAGCTCGCCTATATGATTGGCAGCAAGACAGCCGGGTACCCAGTTTGTTTCGGCATGCGTGAACGAACACAACCTCACATGATATTGCAGGTCCTACTCTCAACATATAAATAAATCCACACAAATGTTAGAATAAAGGCCTGCACTTAACACAAATTGAAAATTCCAGAGCCCATATTATACATGAAATAGAGCCATATTTTGGTTGTAAGGGACTCCAACAACAGTCTTACATGCATGCAAGGTCAAAAACACTTTCATGGTCTTATAATCTGCATTTATTTTTACCTAATTATCCCAGCGACTCCCATTTGAATTGTCCAGTGATTCATTTGTTCCCAAACCCCTCCTTAGCGCGAAGCTAATCTGCGCTGATTGGACTGATCGAATCTCCTGGGTTTGCGCGTGCAACTTCTTGGTTTCGTTATTACGTCATGACGAAACATCTAATGACTCGTTATCAAGACGACTCGTTTGAAGCACTCGTATGAGTCGACTCTTTTATAGATGAATCAACAGTTTTAAACACTGTATACTTACAGATTTAAGCCTTAGCTGGATACTTCACTTCACTTAGAGCTGTGTTACACACTACATGGAAGGGCATTTTCAAAATTCTTAATATAAGAATATAATATTTTCTTAATATTAAAAAATTGGGCTCGAAAATTTTATACCTCGTCAGATGATGTTTAATACTTTTTAATACGCTTAATTTTGGCTAATTTTATTTACTACCTTTTAGAAACCCGCGGACACCCTGCCTAAGGATGAAGTCAAGCACCACCCATCATTTTAGGACCATTTTAGTCGGATATACGTCATGATATGGGAAAAACAGGGCATACCTAATTTCTATTTCATAGTAACTTAAACAACCTAACCATCCAATTAAAAACTATTTTAATTTGCAGCCTAGGCGTCACTGGAAAACGTCTTTATAAAAGCTTTGTTAAACTTGTTGGAGCCATTTTCTTTTTTCTATTGTTAGTTTTGGGCTGAATAGGTTAATTTGATGACTTGATTATTATAAAGTTTATTTTTGATAATTAATAATTATTTATGTTTGAGTATTTGCATAAATGTTTTGATTTTTATTCTATCAATGCAAATCAGGTTAAGGCAGCTAAGGTAGTAGGTGGGGCGAGTGAGGCGGGAGAAAACAATTTTTAGACCGTGAGTTGGTATGTGGTGACTGGTGCTACTGAATAGCAATGAAGCTATTTCACAGATTTGATGGATCAGGATGTGGTGAAAATAAACGATGAAAAGGTTTCACAATGAACTCATGCATCACTTTTTGCCCTTACTAAGATTAGGCTTAGAGCAAAATGCCGCTACAAAGCTAAAAAAAAAAAACATACACATTAGACTTAAAAACAAGCTAAATAAAATCTAATAAAAAAATATGTATACAGTAAGCAGCAACACACAGGATGATGTCCAAAAGATGTACAAATAGCATTAAAAAATAACATTATATAGATAGATAGGGGGAAAAAGTAGCACCATTTACCTATGAGAATACTAGTCATACACATGAAAATTAATCAATACATTTTAGAAAGGAAAGAATTTTAATAAACACGGAAAATTAATTTTGATAAGGCAAACACAAACACTCCAATATCCAGGAACATCTGTCTAATGCTGCTCGAGCATCATCAAGAACACATCTGTGTTGAGTTTGTGTCTATAAATAAAGCCAATTGAATTTCCGCCAGCCTGATTTGCCTTAAAATGTACTTTTAAACGCATCTTATCATTCGTAAAGCTATCAGATGAATAGTTTTATATTTCTGTCTCTTGCAAAGCTTCATGGGATGTTAGTTTTTTCCCTTATTACAATACACAGATTTTCATATACTTTACTTAAAATCAAAGTTTGCAATGCTGTGATTCTCCTCATAGATAGTTGGTTAGCGTCATGGATTAAAAAAAAAGAAGCCTTTTTGTAATCCCTATGTGAAAATCAATGCAAGAGTGACTGGATACACACTAATGCACTCTTTGGTTATTTGTTCAAATTATTTAATGCATTAAAAATCATAAATTAACATAGAAAAATGTTTATTCATGTAGCACCATGGTCAAGCAAGACACCGCATTTTATTCCACACATGTAGCAGAATGACAATAAAGCTCAACTAGACTTAAACTCCATGCATTTTCCTTCTGCCTAGTCTCTATTTCAGAGGTCGCCACACCGGGATGAACCGCCAACTATTCGAGCATGTTTTATGTAGCGGATGCCCTTCCAGCTGCAACCCAGAACTGGGAAACACCCATAAACACTCATTCACACACGTACACTACGCACAATTTAGTTTATTCAATTCACCGGCACCGCATGTCTTTGCACTGTGGGGGGAAATTGGAGCACTCAAAGGAAAACCCATACAAACAAGGGGGGAAATTTGCAAATTCCATATAGAAATGCCAACTGACCCAGCCGAGACTCGAACCAGAAACCTTTTTGCTGTGAGGTGATAGTGCTAATCATTGAGCCACTCCAGACTTAAACTTGGCTAATTAAAGTTCTTGCTTTAATTTTCAAGCAGGTTTTTTTATTACAATTACTTACTACAACAATTAATTCCTTCATGTGAGTAATTTCAGCAGAAGCACTTGCTCTATTAATAGCAAGGACGTGAGACTGACTCAAAAAGTGCTGAATCAATTGATGGTTTAAAAAAACTAAAATGCTGACAAAGTGAATCACTTCAGTAGTAAAAAAAGACTGTGAATCCATTCAACCCCAGCTTAAAGTTTCACATGTCTTAAAGACATTTTGTGACTGTCACACTTACGATTGCAGAACGCTGCAGTTGTAGAAGACGAAGTCGGTGGTGATGAATTTGAGCCCCGTCTCTTTGGACTTCAGAGAAAGCTTCACGACCCGTTTATCGCCTGGAAAAAGAAGAGAAAGAGACGGTAATGAAGGAGAAAATGCGGCAGAAAATGAAGTTAGGGCCGTTTGAGCTGGCACTGACACTCTAATGCAGACTCCGGACCCCCGCTCCGTACATATACTCAGTAATGCTCACGTTCCTAATATATTTGATTGCGAGACCATTTATCCACTTCTTCCATCTGTGAGCGAAATGCACTTACGTTTCAAACTCGGCAGCCCTTTTGCGTTCCATAATGACTACATCTCTGCCCATCAAATTATACTTGTGGGCCTCTCTTCACTATAATTGACATAATATTTCCATTTGGACATGCAATAATTGTTATTAATGGGAATAGCAGGCTTCCGGAGTCTAAAAGTTGCCATCAGGAGATTTTGAATTCTTAGAGTACCTTAAAAATGTTGAAAAAAAAGAGGGGGCTCAAAAGAGATTTGTGTAATTATCAGTCATCACAAAAGGAAGGGGGAAAAAAGACTGGCACAAAATGGGCAACGTGGAAGGATGGGATTAAATTAAATCAAATTAAATTTTATTTCTAAAGCACAAATTGTTCCAGAGCAGCTTAATAGACTTGGTCAGAGCAGATGTATTTAATTTTGACGTAAATGAAAACGAGGTTGAGAGTGACAGATGTGTCTGGATGATTGTTGAGAGATGGAAAATGTGTTTTCATAAACTTCCAGTGGACAAATGAGTCAGTAAAACATGGCTTGTGTAAAACAGATGGACATCAAGAAAATATGAAATATTTCATTTGACTAGTTTTATCAAACACTAATAACCCCATGTATGCAGAAAAAATTATATTACAGCTTTTTGAACTACAATTCAACTCAAATTCTTCTTATTATTAGTTTAATAATTATTATTTGTTTCTAAGCAAAAATAATAATGAAATATTGAGTATTGAGAGGATCTAAGCGCATGCTAAATTATTTTAGATTTATTTTATTTTAATTCATTTTTTCTGAGCAAAAATAAGAACAGAACATTGGGAGGATCTAAGCCAGAGCTAAATTATTTTGCTAATTTATATACATTATATTTATTTTAATTTATCTAAACAAAAATAAGAACAACACATTTTTTATTTATATATTTTTTTATTTTATTTTTCTTAAAAAATTTTCTAAACATTTTAATTTATTTTAATTTATTTGATTTCATTTCAACGAAACATTGAGAGAATGTAAGTGCATGCTAAGTTACTTTGTTTATATACTTTTTATATTTATTTTATTTGATATAAACAAAAATTCAATTAAAATTCTTATTATTATTAATAAAACATTTTAGCAAAGATTTTGGGAGGATCCAACCCCATGCTAAATTATTTTAGATTTATTTTATTTTATTTATGTTATTTTAATAAATATGTTTCTGAGAAAAAAATAAGAACGAAAAAGGAGGATCTAAGTGCATGCTAAATTATTTTATTTACACACACACACACACACACACACACACACACACACACACACACACACACACACACACACACACACACACACACACACACACACACACACACACACACACACACACACACACACACACACACATATGTGTGTGTATATATATATATATATATATATATTTTTTTTTTTTTTTTTTTTTCTGTACAAAATTAAGAACGAAACATTTTTTTGTTTATATAATTTTAATATTCATTTTCTTTTATTTTTTTTCTGAACATATTTATTTAATCATAATTATTATATTTCATTTTTTTCTGAGCAAATATAAGAACGAAAACAACTGCATGCTAAATTATTTTGTTTATTAATATACTTATTAAATTTATTTGATCTAAACAAAAATTCTATTTAAATTCTTCTTCTTATTATTATTATTATTTAATTAACATTTTTTCTGAGCAAAAATAATAATGAAATATTGGGAGAATCTAAGTCCATGCTAAATTATTTTAGATGTATTTTATTTATTTATTTTTTTCTGAGCAAAAATAAGAACAAAAAAAATTGAAAGAGTTTGTTTATTTCTATAATTTTTTATTTATTTTATTTTATTTAAACAAAAAATCTATTCAAATTCTTATTTCTGAGCAAAACTAATGACGAAATATTAGGAGGAGCTAAGTTCATGCTAAATTATATTACATTTATTTTATTTCAGTTTTTTCTGAGCAAAATAAAAATCTAAGTGTGTAATTTGATTTATTTATATTTATTTTTTAATATTTGTTTTAGTTCATAGTTTTTTTTATTTTATTCTTTTTCCTGAGTAAGAATAAGAATGAAACATTGGGTGGATCTAAGCCCGTGCTAAATTATTCTTTAAATATGTTTATTTAGTATTTTATTTTATTTATTATTTATGTTATTTATTCCAGGCAAAAATTTGAACGAAACATTGGGGTGATCTAATCCCATGCTAAATTATTTACAATATTTGGCTCTATGATATTATAATGATTAAAGCAGCCATTAGTGCTGTCAGTATGTCAAGGGAAAGAGTTGATCTTGTCTGGCAAAGTCAGCTTTGAGTCTGGAGGACAGGAAAACATCCTCTGCTGTTTGGATCTTATCAGAGTAAATGCCATATTCAATTTAACATCAATCAATATCGGCTCTGCTCCATGTTGCACTGAAAAATATCCCCATTTCTAGTGGAAGAAATGTATCGTAAACATGGATTGTGTGAATAATACATTGTGTATTGCACTGTATACGCAAACTGTTGATCTCTATTGACATGTTGACCTTTGTGGTGTTTTATCTTTCTCTTTTTTATTTAATATTTTAGGCATTAAAGTCATTTGTAATTGTAGCCTGGCGTTTAGTGCGTTTTATAATTTGATTTTATTTAGTTTGATGTTGTGCACTGGTGATGTGACAAAACTAATAAAAACAATATTTAATATATAAGATGGTTCAGTCTATTTTTTTCAATTCAGCTGATACGCAGTATTGACCAAAAAAAATCATATTATCCAATGATAATAAATCTTTTGAAGATCCAAACAATCTTTTTAGTCTAGAGCTGCATGATTCTGGATAAACTCTGAATTATTTATTTTTTGTTTAAAATATAATAATAATAATAATAATAATAATAATAATAATAATAATACAAATATAATAATAGTAATAATAGCAATAATAGTTATAATAATAATAATAATAATAATTATAATAATAATATAATAATAATAATAATAATAATAATATAATAAAAATAAAAAAATAAAAATAATAATAATAATAATAATAATAATAATAATAATAATAATAATAATATCAGACGTTAGAATCCGTATTTATTTTTTTGGCTGAAATGTTATAGTTTTATCTACATTTATTATTATCTGAAGTTTGAAAAGAAAACTAGGCTGCATTCTTCACACTGTGATTCGAATCTGATTTTTTTTGCCCACATGTCACTCAGGTAATGACAGTGTGAACAGCCCAAACCGCATGGAATCTGGTCTTTTCAGGTCAGATTTGTGCCACTTTCATATGTAGTTTTAAATCAGACACAGATCTGATATTGTGTAATGCGACCGCAGTGTGAACGGTTAGGTCGGATTTTTAATCACCATAAAGAGTCAGGACCTGGGTTTAACATCTCATCCGAAAGATGGCGCTTACTGAGCAATATAGAGTCCCCTTCACTTTACTGGGTGTTAGGACCCACACAGATCGCAGAATGAGCACCCCCTGTTGGCCTCACTAACACCACTTCCGGCAGCAACATAGTTTTCCAATGTGGTCCAGGTATTGAAAAGGTGCAGGCCAGCTTGGTTTCAGTGGGTGACCATGTGAGAGTTGCAGAGAGCTAGCTGTGGTCAAAAAATGCTTCTTGATTTAAGGATTTTTAGATATTTGGACTAGAAACAAGACAAAAACTCTGTAACTATGAAAATCATTTTTGCAGTGTATTGGTAACATAACAATATATATTACTTACTATGATAATAAATGTTAACTGAAACAAGAGTGTGATCTTTAAGGATTAATAGTGCAGCTCTTTTTTGTTTTTTTATTTCACTAATAAACACATCGCACTATGGCTGGCAATTGCAATCTGAATGGTGTCTTACCATATCCCTGAGTGACAGACGGGACGTCCCGAAGGGAAGGGGACATGCAGAGGATTTGTCCTTCAGCCAGCACTTCTCCTGGACTCTCGGTGAGCTCCTCAAACACACACGTCACCCCCGCAGAGAGGTTCGGGACGTTCGCCACCTTCACACTCAGCTGGAGCACAAACACACACACACACACAAACACTCTTCTGTCAGACACGATACATGATCACGTGACCTGCCTGATTAACATGTGTGAAAGCAGCATTTTGTCACGATTCTGTCAGGAATGATGGAAGGAAAAATACACTGGAACAGAAAATCCTGACATTATTTATTCTCTGATGTATTTTTCCCCAAGAAATTCAAAAAATAAAAATGAAGATTATTTATGGCCAATTAATAAACAATATTCATCAAACAGACCATCACATTTATTCTCTGGCTTGCTTACTCATCAGTCATTTTCTTATTCGCTAAGTCCTTTTAATAATCTGGGGTCACCACAACAGAATGAACCGCCAACTTATCCAGCATATGTTTTACGCAGCAGATGCTCTTCCAGCTGCAACCCATTACTGGGAAACATCCAAACTCTGCATAAAAATGCCAGCTGACCCAGCCAAGGCTTGAACCAGTGACCTTGCTGAGAAGCGATCGTGCTACCCATTGCGCCACCGCATCGCCCAGCTTGCTTAATTAAATTACATTTTTGTGATTATATAATTACAAATATACTTGTAAGCTGTTTTAGATAAAAAAACATTTCAGATAATAATAATGCAAAAGTAACAAATCTGAGTTATTATTTTACATATAATTACAATGAAAAGTATATCAAGTTCCAAGATGTGAAAATAAAAACATTATCAAGGCATAATAAAAGTCTTCTGAAGTCATTTGATAGATCTGTGTGAAAAATGGATGAATTTAAGCCGTTATGTACTAAAAAAAAACATTCATCATTGCTGAAGGGTAATGAGTTTAGACTGGCATAATATTAGAGCGAATTGCACAATCTTCAATTTAAGATTTTAAAATATACTGTGTAAAAATTAGTAAAAGTATGTTTTAGCAAAATAAGTATAAAAGTGATTCCTTTTAATTAAATAATTTACTTTTTGTTTTCCTTTATTATTTCCCCCTAAGACATACTGGAAAAGTACGAAGTAATAATAATAATAATAATAATAATAATAATAATAATAATAATAATTATTATTATTATTATTATTATTATTATTATTATATAGTAAAAGTAGTAGAAGTAATAATAATAGTAATTTATCATTTATTTATGTATTATTATCAATATAAATTATTATTATTGTTATTATTATTTCTATACAATTATATATTATATAATATTACATTTAAAAATATTAAAATATAATAATAATAATAATAATAGTAATAATAATAATTATTATTATTATTATTATTATTATTATTATTATTATTATCATCATCATCATTTATTACTATTATTATTACCCCCGAAACATGAGAAGTTTAGGTGTTTATTGTAGTAGAATTTGTAGAGATTGTTAACAAGAAGCTTATAATGCTGTTTTATAAAGCTGTTCTTGAAAGTATTGTTAGCTATAGTATCATAGTGTGGTTTGGCAACCTATCTGTACAGTGTAAATCTAAGCTAATGCATCTCTTAAAGACAGGATGGAGAATTGTTCTGCACGATGAATATTTTAATCTTCAACTTTTATATGAGAATTGTGTCCTCAATAAAGTGGAAAAGATTCTGAATGATGCAACTCATTTTTTTTTCTAAATTATGAGATTTATAGGAGATAAAGAGTGCCAAAGTGTAGGTTGAACCGATATAAAATATCCTTTGTACCAGATTCAGTGGGTTTACTTAACAAGAGTTATATTAATTAGCATTATAATTATTGTAACTACTGGATTTTTATTTAACTAAAATAATAATAAATTGAATAATAAATTATATTTTTTTATTATCAATAATATTATTTTCATTATTATCAATTATTATTATTATTATTATTATTATTATTGGTATTATTATTATTATTATTATTATTATTATCACTTTAATGATCATTAATAAAACACTAAAATACACCAAAACCAAAAACAAATAAAACAAACAAACCTATAGTCCACTTCCCCTGTTCTTTGATATTCATATTTCCATTCATACAATGTACTTTTTATTTATTTATTTATTTATTTATTTATTTATTTATTCATCAAAGCATTCAGCCCAGCGTACAAGAAATACCCAAAGAGTCCTGCTGTTTTGAGCATCCATGACAAAAACGCATTACAAAGACAGTAACAGGGCAACACCATCAAGATTATTAACCCCAGTCTTATGACAGCTTTATAAAATGACAAAGCTTTGAATATGAAGTCACCTGTGTAGACACGGAGGTCACAGACATGTTATCCGGAGTGACGGTAATGTCCACACACTGCTTCAGCTCTGTACTGAAGTGAAGCGGCTCGGCCCACTTCTCACAGGCCTCCTTTCTGGAGCACCTGGAAACAAACAAACAAACAAACACATGAGTAAACAGGAAGATCCCAGCATGCACAATAGAGCCTGCGGTTGACGGCGCTCGTCTGATAAGAGTTCAGGCTTCAGCGAGCATGATTTTCCTTTTCCCCTGTCCACTCAGACCAATGCATGTCAAATATCCACTGATATCCACAGCACAAAAAACTTCTGATGCAGCTGATATGGTGGAAAGAGCTCATATAGCGTGCAGTGGCAGAAATGTGGAGGATTCATATCTGTTGGTCATTATTCATACGTTATAGTGACACATGTGGAGCAAATATCTCAGGGCAAAATGTGTGTTAGTAACTTTCAAGCAACAATGCAACCGCATTCAGAAGGATTCATATAGAACTGAACTGTACTGTATGTACTAGTTTAAAAATTGGCACATTTAAAAATTCTATTGTTACAATGCAAACCGTGTATTATAACCTGTTGAACACATTTTCAACACATCAATGATTGATTTTAAATTAGATTAACCTTTAGCCGAGAATTTCTTTTTCAAAAAAGCTGACAAAATAAGCCATTTTAATCCATAAAAAACAACAATGTATTGCAATAATATTCAATATCAGCAATAGTAACAATAACAGCAACAACAACAACAATAATTGCAACAGTAATAACAACAAGGACATTAATAATAACAACAACAATATTAATAATAAAATGTATAATAATAATATTCATATTAGTATTATAATAATAATAATTATAACAACAACAACAACAACAATAATAATAATTATTATTATTAAATTATAAATAATCATAGTAATATCATAACAATAACAAAATTAACAAAATAAATAATAATAATGATAATAGCAATAGTGGCAATAACAACAACAACAACAACAATAATAATAGCAATAGTAATAATAATATTAACAACAACAACAATATTAATAATAACATTTACAATATCAGTATTTATAACAGTAATATAATAATAATAATCACAACAACAACATAGGATTATTATTATTTTTATTACAATAACAAAAACAAAAACAATAATAATAATAATAATAATAAAAACAACAACACCAAAAGCAGCAATAGTAATAATAATTTTACTACTACTACTAATAATAATAATAATAATGATAACAATAATAATAATAATATCAGCAATAGTAACAACAAAAATAATGACAATAATAGCAATAGAAATTATAACAACAATATTAATAATAATAAAGTATAATAATATTAATATTCATTAACAGTAATAATAATACAATAATAATAATACAATAATAATAATAATTATTATTATTATTAATATTAATAATCATAGTATTATAACAATATTAATAATAATAATGTATAGTAATATTAATATTCATAACAACAATAATAATAATAAAAATAATAACAATGACAATAATTATTAGAGGAGGAAGAAGAAGAAGAAGAAGACCATAATTATTTATTTGTTTGCTTACACTTTATTTTAAACACTTTACTTATATATAACACACAAGTACACCTGGGCTTCTATGTGACACTATTTGTTTTAACCATTCATTTATTTTCAATATAGTCACCCCGCCACCATATGGTCACTCTGTAGACAGTGTGTTATGGCACAACAAACAACCTTATTTTCAGCACCTAAACTACAGTGGACACATTAATGCCACCGATAATCTCCTACAGCAATAGACACAATCACAGAAATGTGTGCATGTCCTGACTGTTTTTTTTTTTCATGAGCAAAATAGCTGGCCTGCTTTCCTCACACAGTAAGTACATCTGCAGGGAAGCTGCCAGCTATTAAAGCATTCATAAAACTGGCATGTTCGTTAGACGTGTTAAGTGGAGTTAAAAGTCGCCCTGTGCCTGTGTTAGACTGTGAATGAGGATGGGTTACGTTAATGTACACAAAGCCTCATCACACCGTGACCCAGATCATCCATTATAACAGTGTTTGCGCATTAAAATACATGATCCTCACCCAAAAATCAAGTCATATATTATCGACCTCATCGGCTATTGTTGATTACTGTTATATGTCAGCGGTGAGAGGTACAGTAGAAGCTGATGATGCATAACAAGGCTCAGTAAATTAAAAGTGCTTTAATTTTGAGGCCGCGCCGGAGAGACTGTAATGAAAAACGCACATAGAGGAGAGATGGAAGCTTTTAAAAGCACAGCCTCCCCGGATTGCATCAAAACTAGGAGAGGGGGAAGCTAAATATTTACCAAAAGCCAAGGTATCTAATTCATCATGATGTCGAAGATGGCATCATTTTCCATCAGTAGCAACAAAACCCCGCATTTTTACCTCCAGCGCGCCTGTCTGTCTGGGAAACCAAGCAAGCGCAGTCGATACTGACAATGCCATTATTCACCAGCAATGCACACAGCAGTAATGATTTGTTTTCCCTTAATTATGCCCATATGTCTAAGGGAAGAAAAAAGAAATGGGAGCAGTCTTAATTAAAGAGATAGAAAAGGATATCTCTCGCTACATGCACCTTCAAGGCCTTCCTGCGCCTTTTTTGGGGGTTTTGCTTTGGGTTTATTACCTACTCTTGCTTTCACCAAATGAGTTTTCGTCCAATTAAAGAACACTTGTCTTGTTGCTAAACTGGAACTAATGTGATTTATGATACATGGCCACTTTTTGCAGGTAAGGTGGTCCCTGCGACACGAACGCTCATGTGATGACAATAAAACGATCCCTTGTTGTGAGGCAGCCGGAATGTTCTTTGAAGACCGTATTGATCCTTCTTAACACGCAGCATGTACCGGGACAACAATTCAACGAGGGCTGTAAATTGGCCATGACGGGAGGCATAAAGTGTAACAATGTTCGATGTAAGCAAGCAGTCGTTTAGCGGACGCCTTTGTTTTAAGGGACTTTGGGGGTGGGGGACCTGTAACAGGGACAAACAACGTGGAGAATTTTTGGGGATTGAAGTCATTCATTTTCTTGTCCCACTGCATCCCAAAGGTGTTCCCTTCACCTTCTTCCTGTGCCCCAAGATGCTTTGCATTAATTATGAGAGTAACATCCAGCAAACTGTAAACAAGAGCTGCGTCCCAAATCGCATACTTATGCACTATTCTACGCCATTTTGTAGTATAAATAGTGTAAGTAGTGTGTTCACACTGAAAACTCTAAAAATAATAAGTGCACTTTAATTACCCGGATGATGCACTCATTCAGCCGCTAAAATGAAGTGTGTAATGATGAACACTTCACGCACTCAACGACCGCAGGTTTGCTTACGTAGCGGAAGGGGTGGAGCTATCGGACGCACATGTTGAATAACTTTATTTTGGATGGTGAGAGCAAAATTCTTCAACGAGAGTGATTTTAGCGCCTCCCGATGGTGAATGCGGTTAAACTCGCGGCAGGTAATATTTGATAATTCGGTCGTTTATTTCACTGATTTGGCAACCGTCAAACGTCATCAGGCAAACGGTTTGAATTTCCGCTTAGTAAAAAAACATTAGTGTGCCATTTGGGACGACACTACATACATATACTATCCTTTTGAGTGTGTAAGTGCATAAGTACATAGTGCATGAGTGCATAGTGTATAGTGTGCCATTTGGGACGCAGCTAATGAGTGAATTGTTTTAAATGTGCCATAGATTGAAAATCTGGATATACCTAGGCAAAGCTGAATAAGTTCAGCCTCAAACACCATCGTTTCCTTATTCTCATGTGTATCCTACCTATCACATGAGTGTAAAATCTCTGTGAAAATCAGGCCAATCTGAACAAAACCCTGACTCTGACGATACATACGGGATTATTATTATGCATGCCATCCCAACTCTTGCTCAACCACATCCCAAAGGTGTTTTATCCACCTTCTTCCGAAACCCCAAGATTCTTTGCATGAATTATGGGAGTAACTTCAAGTAAACTGTAAACAATAAGTAAAATGTTTTTAAAGAGGCCATAGAATAAAAATCTAGATTCGCCTAGGCATAGCTGAATAATTAGAGTTCAGCCTCAAACATCATTGTTTCCTCATTCTCATGTATATCCTATCCTAGGGGTTCTCAATCTTGGCCCTGGAGGGCTGGTGTCCTACAGATTTTGGCTCCAACCCCAATCAGACACACCTGGGCTAGATAATCAAGCTCTTACTAGAGCAGGTGTGCAGGTGTGTTGAGGCAAGTTGGAGCTAAAATCTGCAGGTCACCGGACCTCCAGAACAGAGTTTGAGAACCCCTGTCCTATTGCATGAGTGTAAAATCCCGGTGAAAATTAGGCCAATCAGAACAAAACACTGATTCTAACAATCCAAATGGGATCATTAATATGCATGTCCCAGCACAGTTTGATTGGCAACAATGTTTCCTAGTGAGAGTACAACAATGCATATCTCGTTTAACCACATTCCAAAAGTATTTCATCCACCGGACCTCTAGGTCTGAGTTTGAGAACCCCAGTCCTATACCGTGACTGCAAAATTCCAGTGAAAATCAGGCCAATCAGAACAAAACCCTGACTCTGATGATCCAGATGGGATTATTAATATGCATGCCCCAGCACAGTTTGATTAACCACAGTGTTTTCTAATGAGATTACAACAATGCATCTCTTGTTCAACCACATCCCAAAGTTGCTCCATCCAGCGGACCTCCAGGACCGAGTTTGAGAATCCCTGTCCTATCCCGTAACTGTAAAATCCCGGTGAAAACCAGGCCAATCAGAACAAAACACTGATTCTGACAATCATGCATGCCCCAGCATAGTTTGACTGGTAAAAATGTTTCCTAGTGAGATTACAACATTGCATATTTTGTTTAGCCACATTTCAAAGGTATTTCATCCACAGGACCTCCAGTACTGAGTTTAGGAACCCCTGTCTTATCCCATAAGTGTAAAATCTAGGTGAGAATCAAGCCAATTGGAACAAAACACAGACTCTGATGATCCAGATGGGATCATTAATATGCATGCCCCAGCAGTTTGATTGGTCACAGTGTTTCCTAGTGAAAT